AAATTATCTGGTTCAAAAATAAATGAACTTTTACTGACTATATTTCACCTATCAAAACTTTTGCATAACCCTAATATTTTTAATACAATTTGACCGTAATTTCAATATTTCCATGTCCTTAAGCCTATAATTTTGTGATTTAATTTGATTATCAAATCTATCAATCGCCAGATATATGAGCAATGAAAATGTGACACAAAAATATATCCACAGAAATGTCTGAATCTTGTGCTCGTAATTCATAGTTTTAAATCAATCGCTAAAATCACAAAATACTTAATCATATTATTATTTTATATAATGATTAAACTTGTTATCTTAAATAATTAACCATATATTTTCTATATGTGATTTTGAATGAGCAAGTTTTTGGCAACTAATACAGTTGAGATTCATATTTTTAAACAAAAGTACTGGTACTGTACTATATGTGACTATTCCTGAGTTTAATTGACAATTTTAAGCCCAAAACTTGTTATTCAAAATAAAACACTTACCTTTGTTTGAATGACAATAAATACAGTTTAATACTCCAAATTGATATTCTCACCGGTAATTATAGTATTGCTGATACACATGGTTATAATGTTAAAAAGTTTTACTAAAATTTGAAAAGCTGCTTTGACAACCATAATAATTTTATGTCATGTAGTGTATCAGATTTTTTGATATAACTGTTGAACACTGTGAAACTATATAAAAATGAATAAAATTTATAAATTGCTGTTAGTTTACAAGATATTTAATCTATTTGTTTGTAAATGTCAAATGCATAGCCACTTAGAATATATTAATTTAAGTTGTAATTGGGTTGTTTAGTTAGAAATAGATTAATATCACATTATAATTATAATATTGTTATTGCAAACATTTAATAATAAATAATGAATATTACTAAGTTAGTACTGTATAACATAATGATATACAAGGAAGTAATTTATAGTGTTGATTTAGTTATTTATTTACCTGCTTCATTTTAGTGTCAGATCATATTCTGTTTTAATGATCAATAAATGCAATTACTATAAAACAAGACATTCAGATACATATTAATAAATATTCATTTAAAATTAAGTTAATTTTCTTGTTTTACAGTAAAAATCAATACAATGCAATATTAATATAAATAGAAAGCAAATTAAAAATAGAAATTACATACATGTAAATACAATATTTTATAAAAATAAAAATAGTAAATTAACAGTAATGTTACGAAAGGTGATGTAAAGATTGGCGGAAATGGTAATGGCTATTATAGATTAAAATTACATAATAGATAAAGTCAACAAATTTAGAGAATTAATAGTAAAATTAATCTTTCCGTTAAGTATCTCATATAAAATATGTATTAATTCTAAACTAACTCAATATCATCGAAAACTTTATAAGCAGGGTATAATTTGTAAAACTTTTGTGTCGATGAATTGGAGGCATAGAAATAGGAGTCCCAACCCCTGCCGTTAATTGATTGATCAAACCATTCAGACCACCCTGGACGGTTTACATTGAGTCTCTCATGCAAGTGATCACCGATTCTTAGATCCCATTGATCTTCAGTTTTTGACCGATGGTTGTAAACAGCTGTCCGGATGGGAGTCAATGCAAAGTCATAATGAAAGGGCACGTCTAGGGATCGGTATTGCAATGAGGCGTCCAATTGTTTGTATCGCATTAATTCATAGGAAAGTCGGCATATCTTTTGGGGAATATTAATAAGAATTCTTTCGTAAAGTTCTTATAATTAATAACAAACTTACGGCTGAACTGAAGGTACAAACAATATAATCGGTTTCCGATAACAGGAATATATCCGCGAGTACTCCCCAAAGNATATAATCGGTTTCCGATAACAGGAATATATCCGCGAGTACTCCCCAAAGGGATTCATTTGAATATCTCGTGGTTTGACTGAATGCTGTCTTCGAGATGGAAGTGCTTCCTATGAACTCATAGTTTGGATACTGTTTTGCAAATTGAGGCAAAACTGACGGGTCATCGGAAGCCACATAAACCAATCTCTGAGACACTTGTCGTGTGAGCTCTAGTTTATCGAAATAGTCTTTCACTGAAACCATATAATCGGAAATAGGATAATACAGGGCCTCGTTGTAAACGAGTTTATCAGTCCGTCGCACATGAATGCCTACAATAGGGTGTCTGTAATTAATTTGTTTCTTAAACCTTTTGATATAATTTTGAAGTCTTGGTTGCGGTCGTAGTATGTATCCTATAAACTGCGAGTGAAACCATGAGTTAGGACTGTCCACCAGAGACATCAAATCAGTGCCAAATTCTTTCGGCAGTTTATTAGCAAGTTTTCTGTCGATTACAGTATTGGGTCGTTCAGGAGCTATGAGTTGATCTTTTGGTAAATCTTTGTAATCACATGAAGTACTCAATGGCATGAAGATATCATTCCAGTGCTCACCGCCTTTGAAATATTTAGACCACTCGGGAATCAATATAACTGTTTGATAGCTATAATAGGCTGACAATAGACACCATAAGACCTCATGTATTCCCGATGCAAAACCGGCGTCGATATTGAGAATACAAACAGATTTGGAAACTTGATTGCACTGATCTTTAGGTGGATTCTGAAGTTTTTCTAGTTTTGTGTATATTTGATGTGATATTTGTTTTAGTCTTTTATTTTTATAATCATTTAAACCCATTATTTCATTTGCATTTTGTATTTCCAACTGTAAAACACTAATTATTATAAATTAATTAAAATTAGTTTATAATTCAGTATATTTAATGATACATACTTTTTCATATCACTCACTTGTGATAAAATTTTATTTTTAATTTCATTGTCAACAGAATTTGTTTTATTCAAAGTTATGGACAAATAATTGAAGATTTCTTGAGCTGTTGTGTGGGCTCGTCGTAAATGTTTCACAGAATTTAACGTAACTTTAGTATCAAAAGTAATTTATAAAGTTTAATACAATCTAAATATAATAATTTAGAAATTCTAACAAATAATAATTACCATTAAAATTAGATTTGCCATTATTACAAATTAACGTTGAAGAATCATTTCTAATAACTGTAGATATTATATACATATATATAAGCCTCGGGTTCGGCTGCAGTGACCTCTTTTATCGGGAAGTTTTCTCGTTATAAATATTAACATGTGATATACCAATTCAATAGGGATTTTAATGGAGAATAAGATTATAGATGTAAACCTTTTATCAACTTGACAAATCATGCAAATAATGCCGAATTAGTGTCGAAAAATGTGAAAAATCATAATATTTCTTTTAAATCTTGAGTTTTCTAATTTTTACATATATAATCTTATTCTCCATTAAAATCCCCATTGAATTGGTATATCACATGTTCATATTTATAACGAGAAAACTTCCCGATAAAAGAGGTCACTGCAGCCGAACCCTCGGTCACCGGACAATATAAATAAGATATTCTGACTCCTCGTCAAAAGTTCTATAAGAATAAAGCATAATATCCCGGTTTCCAGCTTAATACCAGTGCTCATACCGGTCACCTTTTATAAGTTAGTACGAGAAATTTTTTCAAGCTTAATCTTTTAAAACGTTGCGGATGACTATGTTATACTGTACATGAGAATAACTTGATTACTGTACAGTACTGTACTGTATTATAAAAACAACCAAGCACTGTCACGATTTACAGCTGGCTTATAATTTGATATAATTCTTATTATTAATAAGTTATTAATCTGTATACTAGTATACTGTAGAAATAGCATACACTTTCAAAACATATTGTACAATAAATATGAAGCAAATCAAATAAATATTGATAAAAATGTTGCTATAAACATTCAAAATTATGGATATTAAAAATAAAGCTAAATAAAAAATGAAAAAATATAATTAATAATGTTCTGTAATAATTTATTTACCAACTTCATTTAAGTAATATTATTTTGACATTTAAATAATAAAGCATTTATTATAAATGTTTTGTAACTCTTAAAGTATTTTGTTGACAATGAAATTAGCAAATGATTTTTAATACAGTACAATTATGTCTGTTAATGTAATGTATAAGTTATTAATCAAGAATACTGATTCATTATTTTATAAACATTGTATTTAATAAATAAATACAAATAAATATCAAATATCTATGCAGTATTTGAATTAAATTGCAAATCATACTCACCATTTGTTATTTGTTTATTGCCACAGTTCACATAATTGCATTTAATATTTTTAATATAATTTGACCGTAATTTCAATATTTCCATTTCCTTAAGCCTATAATTTTGTGATTTAATTTGATTATCAAATCTATTAATCGCCAGATATACGAGCAATGAAAATGTGACACAAAAATATATCCACAGAAATGTCTGAATCTTGTGATCGTAATTCATAGTTTTAAACATCAATCGCTAGAATCACAAAATACTTAATCATATTATTATGTTATATAATGATTAAATTTGTTATCTTAAATAATTAACTATATATTTAAGTGTGTGATTTTGAATGAGCAAGTTTTTGGCAACTAATACATTTGAGATTCATATTTTTAAACAAAAGTACTGGTGCTGTATGTGACTATTCCTGAGTTTAATAATTAAACTTGAATTGACAATTTTAAGCCCAAAACTTGTTATTCAAAATAAAACACTTACCTTTGTTTGAATGACAATCAATACATATTAATACTCCAAAATGATATTCTCACCGGTAATTATAATATCTCATGATACACATAATTATAAATTATAACTTATAATGTTAAAAAGTTTTACTAAAATTAGAAAAGCTACTTTGGCAACCATAATAATTTTATGTCATGTATTGTATCAGATTTTTTTGGTCGTAACTGTTGAACAATATGAAACTATATAAAAATCAATAAAATTTATGAATGCTGTTAGTTTACAACATATTTAATCTATTTGTTTGTAAATGTCAAATACATAACCACTTAGAATAAATTAATATAAGTTATAATTGGGTTGTTCAGTTAGAAATAGATAAAAATCACATTATAATTATAGTAATTTATTGTTATAGCAAACATTTAATAATAAATAATGGATATTACTAAGTTATATACTGTATAACTGTTGTGTATAAATGAGTGAATAGAGTGAAAGTGTTTACATCCAAGTTATGTATACAAAGCGTATAATGTGTTGTCCATTCAATGCACTACATGTGTATTGCTATACACGCATAACTGTTACTGTATTGGGAGTGGGAGTTATGAACGGTAGGGTTTGCTGTATAGCATACATAAGCTGTTCAGTGAAAGGGTTGCTTTCATGTAGAAATAGTAACGAGTGTTTTGTAAGTGGAAATAGTTATGTGCAATGATTGCCCACAAATCACAACTCACTATAGCATTCATTCAATACCCTGCTTATAGTGTTAACATGTAAACAAACGGCCCTGCTGTAGAACATAATGATATACAAGGAAGTAATTGATAGTGTTAATGTAGTTATTTATTTACCTGCTTCATTTTAGTGTCAGATTATACAGTTCTGTTTTTATTGATCAATAAATGAAATTACTATAAAACAAGACATTCAGATACATATTAATAAATATTCATTTCAAATTAAGTTAATTTTCTTGGTTTACAGTAAAAATCAATACAATATTAATATAAAAAGAAAGTAAATTAAAAATAGAAATTACATACATGTAAATACAGTATTTTATAAAAATAAAAATAGTAAATTAACAGTAATGTTACGAAAGGTGATGTAAAAATTGGCCGGAAATTGTAATGGCTATTATATATTAAAATAATATTATATTATAGATAAAGTCAACAAATTTATAGAATTTAATAGTAAAATTAATCCCTTTTTAAGTATTTTATATAAAATATGTATTAAATCTAAACTAACTCAATATCATCGAAAACTTTATAAACAGGGTATAATTTGTAAAATTGTTGTGTCGATGTATTGGATACTGTTTTGCAAATTGAGGCAAAACTGACGGGTCATCGGAGGCCACATAAACCAATCTCTGAGACACTTGTCGTGTGAGCTCTAGTTTATCGTAATTAATAACATACTGTATATGTTATGTAACTTTTAAAACAATATTAATTTCAATGATTAATTTGAAGTTTTTAAGTTCATGAGAATATTGCAAACATATTATGTATGGTCACCGTAACAAATAAAAGTAAATAAAAATGTTATTTCATCTATCATATAGACCTATGAATTATATTGACATACATATTGAATTTATAAATACAGTAAGTTAATTTAATTTTATACTATTAATTAATAAGCATTATAATTTATATAATATGCGGGCCGGCTCAGGGCACACGCATTACAATATGTTATACTGTACATGAGAATAACTTTATTACTGTACTGTATTATAAAAACAACCAAGCACTGTCACGATTTATAGCTGGCTTATAATTTGATATAATTCTTGTTAATCTGTATACTAGTATACTGTTGGAATAGCATACACTTTCAAACCATATTGTATTGTACAATAAATATGAAGCAAATAAAATAAATATTGATAAAAATGTTATTACAAACATTCAAAATTATGGGTATTAAAAATAAAGCTAGATGAAAAAATTATAAATTATAATTAATAATGTTCTGTAATAATTTATTTACCAACTTCATTTTTAAATAGAATTATCTTCTTTGACCATGGAGGAATATTAGCTGATCCAGATTAAGAAGTGAATTTCTTAACCTACTCATTGAGCTGATTCCAACCATATATCACATGCAATGATTCGATGGTCGGAACAATTAATATTTTAATATTTTAGGTATTGTAGGTCAAATCAACGTAGGTAAAATCATAGACAACCACTAGTATACTGTAGAAATAGCATACACTTCAAAACATATTGTATTGTAAATTACAATAAATATGAAGCAAATAAAATAAATATTGATAAAAATGTTATTACAAACATTCAAAATTATGGGTATTAAAAATAAAGCTAGATGAAAAAATTATAAATTATAATTAATAATGTTCTGTAATAATTTATTTACCAACTTCATTTAAGTAATAATGTTTTGACATTTAAATAATGAAGCATTTATTTTAAATGTTTTGCTATTATTAAAGTATTTTGTTGGCAATCAAACTAACAAATGATTTTTAATACAGTACAATTATGTCTGTTAATGTACTGTGTAAGTTATTAATCAATAATACTGATTCATTATTTTATAAACATTGTATTTAATTTTTATATTCTTAAGATTAATTTTATATAAAATATTAATTAGAAATCTATATTAGCTCAATATCATCGAAAACTTTATAAACAGGGTATAATTTGTAAAACTTTTGTGTCGATGAATTGGAGGCATAGAAATAGGAGTCCCAACCCCTGCCATTCACTGACTGTTTAAACCATTCAGTATGAGTTCCACTGATTCTCTCGTGTAAGTGATCACCGATTCTTAGATCCCATTGATCTTCAGATTTTGACCGATGGCTGTAAAGAGCAGTCCGGATGGGAGTCAATGAGTGGTGATAATGAAAGGGAACGTCTAGGGATCGGTATTGAAATGAGGCGTCCAATTGGTTGTATCGCATTAATTCATAGGAAAGTCGGCATATCTTTGGGAATATTAATA